GTTGCTGCGCTCAGTCTTAGTCTTTAAGATTCACACACTAACTGTGCGTGCCTTGTTTATAATTAATCTTCAGCACCTTATACAATACTTGTTAAATAAGTAGGTATTTGATAAATGTTTACTGAATAAATGAATAAATGAGGGGATGAATCAAATGCTTTGTTATCCAACATGGAGCTATGCCTTTAGAGAGTACCTTGGTGACATTCTCTCTGGCCTATGCATAAAGCCATGTCTAGTTCCACGTTCTTGTGCTTTGCTTTTTAAACCACACCACCACTCCTTTTTTTTTTTTTTTTTTTTTTTTGAGTTGGAGTCTTTCTTTGTCACTCAGGCTGGAGTGCAGTGGCTCGATCTTGGCTCACTACAACCTCCATCTCCTAGGTTCAAGTGATTCTCCTGCTTCAGCCTCCCAAGTGGCTGTGACTACCGGCACACACCACCATGTCCAGCTAATTTTTGTATTTTTAGGAGAGATGGGGTTTCAGCATGTTGGCCAGGCTGGTCTTGAACTCCTCCTGCTTTGGCCTCCCAAAGTGCTGGGATTACAGGCAGGAGCCACCACACCCAGCCCACCCCTATTCTTTGTTTCAATCCAGTCTCTCATTCTCCAAGAATAATGAACCCACTTGCCTATTTACTATACTACAGTCACCTTTTAGGATCCTGGTGTGACCCAAAGAGAGACCTGAGCTCCATGGTTCTATGTCTCTGCACGAAATCACAGTCAAATACAGTGGCCAGCAACAAAAAGTATTTAAAAAGATTTCCAGGCCAGGTGCAGTGGTTCACACCTGTAATCCCAGCACTTTGGGAGGCTGAGGCGGGCAGACCACCTGAGGTCAGGAGTTCAAAACCAGCCTGGCCAACATGGTGAAACCCCATCACTACTAAAAATACAAAAATTACCCAGGCATGGTGGCCCATGCCTGCAATCCTGAGGCAGGAGAATCACTTGAACCTGGGAGCTGGAGATTGCAGTGAGCCAAGATTGTGCCATTGTGCTGCAGCATGGGCGGCAGAGTGAGACTCTATCTCAAAAAAATTAAAAATAAAAATAAAATAAATAAAGGAATTCCAATTCTATTTACATCCTTCAAAGTCTGTTAATAAAGACCTACCCATGACTCACAGTTACACTTCATAGAAATCGCCTTCTCCCCCATTTCTCTTGATCTTGGTGTCTCTTTCTCATTACTCTCACCTCTTTTCCTTTTTCTCTAGTCAAACACTTGTGGCTCTTTACAAAGAGGGACACATGTTGATTTAGGCCATCTGCTGTTCTTTCATATTTACATTCCACCCCCTGCCCCCCTGTTGCTGAAGTGCAATTGTCTTTGGAGGCTTCTAGAGCTGCTGTCAGATTCTTCGTGATTCATAGTTTGTGCCTAAATCCTTAAGGTTGAGGAATGGGGACATTCTCTAGGAGAAGTGGCACTGTCACAGGTGAGAAGGGCAAGAATCCTCAAGCCGCTAGGCTCCCACTAGATGGTCTTCTTTGCCACAGCAAGAGAAAATGTGGGGTCACCTCTCATCTCCGCAGGCTTCAAACGTGGTCAATAAATTCTGCTGTGAAAAATGCCAAAAAATAAGTGGCCAAATATTCACCGTGATAGTTTGCGACATACTCTCACCCTGAAAGTAAATCAGGCTGTGAAGTCACTCACCTGAGCCCACCTGGCTCACCAGAGCCCCTTGATTGGGGTTGGAGATCAGCTGGCCCCCATGCACTGAACTCACTAGCCAGAGATCTGGATAAGCAGCAGAGACCTGACTGTACCATTTGTGTGTTGCTACTCCAGACCTTAATTCTGCCTTGTGTTCGCTTTTTCTTTTTCTTTTTTGAGATGGAGTTTCGCTCTTGTCACTCAGGCTGGAGTGCAATGGTGTGATCTCGCCTCGCCTCAACCTCCGCCTCCTGGGTTCAGGCAATTCTCCTGCCTCAGCCTCCTGAGTAGCTGGGATTACAGGCACGCACCACCATGCCCAGCTAATTTTTTGTATTTTTAGTAGAGACGGGGTTTCACCATGTTGACCAGGATGGTCTCAATCTCTTGACCTTGTGATCCACCCGCCTCGGCCTCCCAAAGTGCTGGGATTACAGGCGTGAGCCACCGCGCCCGGCTGTGTTCGCCTTTTCTAAGGGACATTCTGGTTTCTTTTTCTCTTCTTTAGCCATCAATAATTCACCAATTCTGAGAATTCACTGGGATTGTGGAGGTTGTGATAATGTCTTCATTAATACTTTCAGTATAAAGAATCCTTACCTCATCCTGATTTAAGTGTCGAGATCTTCCAGACCGTGTGCCGTGGCCCCCTGTTAATAGCCTACTCTTGATGAACACGTCGGTGAACCTGCTTTCCTATCCTTGCTGAAGAATATGGTTATGAATCTGACATTTGAATCCCAAAAGTATCCATCCATCCTGCTGTATTTTCTTTAGAGAGTAAAGAAGCTACAGCCAGGTGCTATGGTTCATGTTAGTTAACCCAGCACTTTGGGAGCCTGAGGCTGGTGGATCACTTGAGGTCAGGAATTTGAGACCACTCTGGCCAACACGGTGAAACCCCCTCTCTACTAAAAAATACAAAAATTAGCTGGGTGTGGTGGCTCACACCTGTAATCCCAGCTATTCAGGAGGCTGAGGCAGGAGAATCACTTGAACCCAGGAGGCAGAGGTTACAATGAGCTGAGATTGTGTCACTGCACTCCAGCCCGGGTGACACAGCAAGACTCTGTCTCAAAAATAAATAAATAAATATATAAATGAATAAATAAAAAAATAAAACAAGCCTCACAGCAACTAACAGTTTTTCTGTTTTGAAGCCCATTAATACCTTTTTTTGTTTGTTTGTTTTGTTTTCTCATTAATACCTTTTCAAGGGAAACCCTGGGGATTGTCACTTGGTTTAGTGGCATTTCTCAGCCTTCAAGCCTTCTCATGCGGACACCATTGCATTGGCAGGTGTTGACCGTGACTTAAGTCTTTTTCTCAGATCTTTGACCTTGCCCTCTCTATAAATTCCCTGGGTTTCTGGTTACCATTCACCTGAAGCAGCGGTTCCAAAGCCTACTTGATTTGGTCTCCATGGTGGAGCTGAGCAGAAGTCACAGACCTCTTCTCTCCTTCCAGCAGGAAATGGGTTAAAAACTAGCATGTGGGCTGGGCTCGGTGGCTCACCCCTGTAATCCCAGCATTTTGGGAGGCTGAGATGGGCAAGTCACTTGAGGTCAGGAGTCAAGACCAGACTGGCCAACATGGTGAAACCCCGTCTCTACCAAAAATATAAAAAGATTAGCTGGGTATAGTGGTGCACACCTATAATCCCAGCTACTTGGGAGGCTAAGGCAGGAGAATTGCTTGAACTCAGGTGGCAGAGGTTGCAGTGAGATTCTGCCACTGCACTCCAGCTTGGGCGACAGAGCGAGACTCCATAAAACAAACAAACAAACAAAAAACTAGCATGTGGTTTACAACTACGAAAGGTTATTTTTTGGCTTTTTCAGTTTAACGTATTTATTAATTTGGTTCTCTTTCTGGAATGACCAGTGCTAAGCAACCCCTTCTCTCTCAAATGTGATTCTGATACAAGTATCTTTTCAGAGGTATTGAATTTTGCAGCTGTAGCGTGGCTTTGTCCTTCCATGCCACACTTTAGCTGAAAGTCTTCGTGGTCAGGATAGAAGGTCGTCTTAATTTTAACGAGGAGTGTGCTGTCCTGGCTAGGCATTGCTTTTGGTCTTCTAAGATGTAGTACAAAAATCAAAATTCTATCCTTTGACACCATCTAATTTGCTGGTTTGTTTCCAATATCTTTATTTCCTTTTATTTCCTCTTCAACATATGTGTGTTGAGTAGTCAAGAGCTACACAGGGAACGAAATACAAAGGGTGTAAAAGGATTTTCAGTAGAAAGACAGTCTTCTACTCTTACCTCATCTTCCAGTCTCTCTCCTTGGGCACACACAATTACCAAAGTCTCTCTTCTCTGTGTGTTCAAAACCATGAGTATTAAACAAACAAACAAGAAAAGCCACACATGGCAATGTTGTTTTGCACCTTGATTTTTTTTCTCTTATCTATCTCTTGTTAATAATTCCCGGTTAGTGACACGGAGTTGTTTCTTTTTTTTTTTTTTTTTTTTTTTTTTTTAACTAGCTGCCTGTGGTTGCCCTATAATGTAGCCAGAACCCCTGTTGGTGGACGTTCAGGTTGGGTCTGGGTTTTTAGTCTTTTTGTTTTCATAGATAAACTGTTAACCAGATGAAGAGAGGTAAAAATAGCTCCTATTCCTGAAAACAACTTCAAGGTTGCCACCGACTGTGTAAGCTCCTATCAGGCTATAAGACGTTTCCCGCGTAAGTCAGCTGGTGAGTGTTTAATGGCTCTTGGCAAGCTTTCTGTAAGAGCTTGGATCCGTGCTCAGGGATACTGTAGAGCTCCTAATCAACTGTATTAGGCCTACATATGGCTATTTCTGAATGCCCAGCTCTGTTTTCCCCTCTCCCTTTTCTCCTCTCTTTCTATGCTATCTATGAGAAAATACAAGAATAAATGGCAGAGACAAAAAGTGACATAAGAGTTTGGAGGATGACTGGGCATGGTGGCTCACACTTGTAATCCCAGTACTTTTGGAGGCCGCGGGGGGTGGATCACCTGAGGTCTGGAGTTCAAGACCAGTCTGGCCAACATGGTAAAACCCTGTCTCTACTAAAATACAAAAAAAATTAGCTGGGCATGGTGGCGGGTGCTTGTAATCCCAGCTACTTGGGAGACTGAGGCAAGAGAATCGCTTGACCCTGCGAGGCGGAGGTTGCGGTGAGAGGAGATAGTGCCATTGCACTCTAGCCTGGGTGACAAGAATGAAACTCTGTCTCAAATAAATAAATAAGAGTTTTGAGGAAAGAGACTTATATAAACTGAAGAACCAAAAATATATAAATATATTGGAAATAATATTTGAATAGGACCAGGCCAGGGGATGACAGAAAGGAGGAGTAGCTTTGTGCAGCGGCAGTATCGTAGCCAATGAGGTTTATCAGAGGCGCAATTATTGCTAATTGAAAAATCTTCCCAATACCTTGAGGTGACGACTTGCAATATAGTCGGCATTGGCAATTTTTGACAGTCTCTACAGAGACTGAATTAAAAAAAAAAAAAAAGATAGGAGTAGTTAGTAAATTAAAGGCAAGGAAAACAGAAACAGCAAAGGCAAAGGGAGATGGCCACAGCTCAAATTTAGCAGACTGTGAGATCAAGCAGACTGGAACAAACGTTTCATGCTGAGGAGCAGAGACAGATGCAGCAGGATAGATAAGGGGAAACGTGATCTGGAGGATCTGAATACATGGATGGCAAGCTGATATTTACTCTTAGAGGGTCTAAGATAAGTCTGGATATCTGGTATTCCCAAATTGTTCTTTCTCAGGAATGTCTTAACTATTATTGATCCTTTGTTTTTCCACATAAAATTTAGAATTATCTTGTCAAATTCTCTTTGGGATTGTACCTGTAATAGCACTGGTTTTGCAGATTAATTTAAGGGGAACTGACATTGTTATACTTTTATCTAACAATGAACATGGTATGTCTTCTCATTTATTTATGTATTCTCTCTCTTTTTTTTTTTAAACAAAGTCTTGCTCTCTTGCCCAAGTGGAAGTACAGTGGCATGATCTCAGCTCACTGTAGTCTTGATTTCCCAGGCTCAAATAGTCCTTCCACCTCAGCTTCCCAAGTAGCTGGGACCACAGGCACATGCCTTCATGCCCGGCTCCTTTTGTTTATTTTTTGTAGAGGCAGGATCTCACTATGTTGCCACAGTTGTTCTTGAACTACTGGGCTGAAGCAATCCTCCTGCCTCAGCCTCCCTAAGTGCTGGGATTACAGGTATGAGCCACTATACCCGGTTTAGGTATTTTTTTTTTTTTTAAACAAGAGTCTCACTGTGTCACCTAGGCTGAAGTATAGTGGCATGATCTCAGCTCACTGCAACATCTGTCTCCTGGGTTCAAGCAATTCTCCTGCCTCAGCTTCCTGAGTAGCTGGCATTACAGACCTGTACCACCACACCCAGGTAATTTTTGTATTTTTAGTAGAGACAGGGTTTCACCATGTTGGCCAGGCCGGTCTCGAACTCCTGATCTCAAATGATCCGTCCACCTCGGCCTCCTAAAGTGCTAGGATTATAGCTGTGAGCCACTGCATTGGGCCAGCCTAAATATTCCTTGACAGCTCTCAATACAGTTTATTTTCTTTTAGAGGTTTTACTGATCTTTTGTATGATATATTTCATGTGGTTTGTTGCTACTGTAAATTATATTTTCAAATTGTATTTTCTGTCTATTACTATTTTAGAAATATAATCAATTTGTAAATATTGTTTTCATATCTAATAAATTTACCTATAGACTTTGGGGGGTTTCTATGGAGAGAATCATATAATCTAAAAATAATGATACTTTTGTACAGTCATTTTCAATCCTTATACATTTTTTTCTTTTTCTTTTCCACTGTTTCCTGAAAGGGCTACACCATTAGGATAAACATATAGAAGTAAACTGCCTTCTCCCGCTCACATCCAGAGAACTATAGGAAGAGTTGCCTGCATGCTGAAGAAAGCAGGGGAAGATAAAAAAGAAAATCATCTCTGACTGGTGGAAACCATGAGCCAGTCCTCACACAGACTTGAAGCCTAATTCCCATCTCTAGGGTCGACCAAGTAACTACAAGCCTTGGAATTAAAGGCATCTAAACTGACATAAACAAAAACAAGTAAATCTTCTCTAGAGAAAGATAGCTTCATTTTATTTCTCAGGAGATCCCTACAAGTAAAATGTAAATCCAAACTCAAAATTAACAAAGCATACAAGGAAATAAGATCATATGAGTGAGGTGCAGCAGAAACAACAGACAGCAGAAACAGACCAGCAAAGATGTCAGATATAGACCTTTTAGATACAGATCATAATATAACTATGCTTACTATATGTAAGTAAATAAAGGAATAGCTGAAAAATATTTTCAGAGATGAGGAAACTCTAAAAGTTGGTAGAAACTTTGTTTTGTTCACTGCTATATGCCCAGTACCTAGACCATTGTTGAACACATAATAAGTATTAAGTTTTGAGGGAGTGACTGAATATTTGCACTTGAGGCCTCCTGTCTGTGCTCATCTCAAATATCTAACTGCCTACTGGCCATCTTTAATAGGATGTCCTTTTGTTTGCTAACTTCAATTCCTATCCAACACTTACTGTATTTTTCCATTCTCATGCTGCTATTGACACAGAATTTTTCTCAGCCACTTTGCCATCTGGTGACCCGGACCTGCAACTGGAGGTACCCCACCCACTCCGTCCATCTGTGTTATTGCTTGTATCTGTGTTTGGCAGTTCCTGAGCTTACATCCTGCATCCAAGAAGAATGAGAATACACTGACAATTCAAAGGGCAAGGTGGACAGATAATTTTTTGAGTGATGGAACCGATTTCAGCAGAGAGAGGATGTGGGTATGGTTTCTCTCCCAGGGTGAGTGAGTCTGGGGCTTTTATGGGCTCAGAATAGGGGAGTGCATGCTAATTGGTTTGTGAGTATGCAAAAAAGAAAAGTTAAAACAAGGGCATGGTGGGCATGACAGTGTAAAAAACCAACAAGGGGCCAGGCATGGTGGCTCACACCTGTAATCCCAACACTTTGAGAGGCCAAGGTGGGCAGATCATGGAGTCACGAGACAGAGACCATCCTGGTCAACTTGGTGAAACCCCATCTCTACTAAAAATACAAAAATCAGCTGGGCATGGTGGTGCATGCCTGTAATCCCAGCTCATCAGGAGGCTGAGGCAGAAGAATTGCTTGAATCCTGGAGGTGGAGGTTGCAGTGAACCAAGATTGCACCACTGCACTCCAGCCTGGTGACAGAGTGAGACTCTGTCTCAAAAAAAAAAAGAAAAAAAGAAAAAAGAAAACCAATTAGGGAAGGCTGAAATAGGTGAAGGGTGGAGATCCATCAGAGGAAAGTGTCCAGGTTCTCAATCCAGTCCGGGGATTTACCCGGGACTATCTTCAACTTGAAGGTCAGGTTTCAGTTCCTTCCTCTGAAGTGGTACATCTAACTGCCATTAGGATAAGGATGGTGACTGATCGTAACTGACAGGGAGTGCTGTTTTGGGAAGACAGCAGTCAGATCTCTCTCAGAGGCCTAGCTAAGGATTGCCAGTAAAATGGAGCCATCATCTGAGGCGCCATTTGGATGACTGTTTGGAGTTTGATGGTCTGAAGGCAAGAAGAGACAAACTGGTTATTAGAAGACATGTACCAAACATGTATCAAAAGGAAACAAGGGGGTATGGACAGCTAAAAAATCCCAAGGCTGACAACATGCCCAGATGACTGGTGGCTATAGTTATGCCTGCTAAGATTTAGGTGGATAGGGCTTGGTTTTGTTAGCTCCCATGATCTTATTTTCCCAAAGAAAGAAACCTCTGGGTTATGGGTAATCTATTTACTCCTATCACCTGGCAGGATTTGGACAAAAATTGCCCAGAACTAGAATATTGATCCATATTTTTACATTACGCAGCCCTTTTGTTTCTTCTTAGCTGCAGCTGGAGATCACTGGTTGGTTCGCAGGAATAAGCAAGGTTAATCTAAAATGTAGACAAAAACATTTTTTTTTTTTTTTGAGAGGGAGTCTCTCTCTGTCACCCAGGCTGAAGCGCAGTGGCACGATCTCACCTCACTGCAAACTCAGCCTCCCAGGTTCAAACAATTCTCCTGCCTCAGCCTCCCAAGTAGCTGGAATTAATAGGCATCTGCCACCATGCCTGGCTAATTTTTGTATTTTTAGTTGAGATGGAGTTTCACCATGTTGGCCAGGCTGGTCTCAAACTCCTGACCTCAGGTGATCTGCCTGCCTCACCCTCCCAAAATGCTGGGATTATAGGCGTGAGCCACCACACCTGCCTGGCAAAAATTTAAAAACAATGAATGAGCCTAGAATTTAATGACAAGTGTGTGATAAGTTTTCTCTCTCCATTCTTCATTTTTGTTAAAAACAAATCATAATAGAACCAAGTTATTTGCAAAATAAACTTTAGTGTTATGCTTGGCCTGATTATTTGCATAAAGTACAACAAGAATAATTAATTTTCACATAAGCCTTTTAAATTGATTTTGATGGAACTCTGTTTCACAAGGAATCTCAGGTAAGACATTTTAAAGCTGAGCCCAGACATGGGTCAGTACCCTCAAATACCTATGAGTTGGGTAAATTTCTCTCCTCTTGAGATCACAAGATAACATGGGGATCCTGGACCTGTTAGAAAGTGACATTCTTTACTCACTACAGGTTAGGAACCCTGTACAGGGACTGTATAGACAAGGTATGAGGCCAGATTTCCCAGGGGCTTTTATTGGCTCTACAAGTCAAGCTTGATTCCATAAAGAGGAGCACACCCTTCCCATCAAAGCCTTGGTAAAACAACCAGTTTCTCCAATTGCATCCTGTTGCAAAAGAAAACTGATGCAAATAAGTATATTGCCACAAGTTAAGAAAACTCACAAATAGGGCAGGGATGGTGGCTTATGCCTGTAATCCCGGCACTTTGGGAGGCCGAGGCAGGTGGATCACCTGAGGTAAGGAGTTCAAGACCAGCCTGACCAAAATGGTGAAACGCTGTCTCTACTAAAAATACAAAAAATTCACCTGGTGTGGTCGTGGGTACCTGAAATCTCAGCCACTCAGGAGGCTGAGGCAAGAGAATTTCTTGAACCTGGGAGGTGGATGTTGCAGTGAGCCAAGATCATGACATTGCACTCCAGCCTGGGCGACAGAACAAGACTGTCTAAAAAAAAAAAGGAAAAGAAGAAAAGAAAAAACAAAACTCACAAATAGTTTCCAAATTCTGGAAACAAGGCATAGAGAAGCAAATTTTGTTCATAAGAGTATATCTTACTCAATTGTTAAAAGCTGTAAATAGTTCAATAAAAGTTTTTCTGATGTTGAAAAACAAAACAAGAATCAGCAATGTTTTAAGCAAAAAGTTAAAAAAGATTACTTCGGTTTTCTATTAGTTCAGCCCATTCCACCAACTCGTCTTCTGCTTGATATTCATGAACATTTCAGCTCTTTGTGAGTCT